ATATATATTTATATTTATATTTACTTTGTATACTAAATTTATTTATTTAATAGACTAGGCCATTTGACCAATTTGACCAGACCACTTGACCAATTTGACCAGACCAGTTTGACCAACGAATTTTTGGTCAACCAGTGATTTGACCAACCCTGTTCGTATTGTATTACTCCAAATATGAAATACATAGCTGATAGTAAAGTTAAAAGAAAGTTAATCAGGTGAATAATACGTGAATCAAAATATTTGACCTTGTAATTAGAATCATACGATTTTCATATAATTTGAATCATTTCAATAAGACGAATTGAAAGATACTAATATAATTGGATTCAGAGTGTTTAACGAGATATATCTAAAGAACCTAAGTGTGCCAAATTACCCTCACGCGCCAGAATACCCAAAATACTCCTTTTCATTTTAGAACTAATTGACTTGATGGTTTATTAAAGAAAATATTAAGTTGAGTTCTTTTAATTGGCAAGATTCAGTAGTACTGTACAATTGGAAATTGGCTAATTTTATTCAATAAATTAATAATTGAACTATTCAATTAGTATTGGCAAAAGTTTTTACTCACAATTGATTTATTTTATGATAATATAATACGTTTAACTAAATTCATTGAGAATTTTTAATAAAAATAATGTCCATAATTCTGCTCGCTCTAAAAATATTTTTTTGTATTGTATTTGGTTTTAAAAAATGATTAAAGTTACGTTTATTTTACGGAAACAATACAAAAAGATATTTTTAGAGCGAGCAGAATTATGCACCGCACACTCTAGTCCAGAGCATTGAGTCTCCTCAAAAATATTTGTGATAAAAATAATAAATAAATACATAAATTTCATGTGATATTAAAGTTAACAATGTTATATTTCAAAAAACATTTAATTTGTTTATACTCCTTGGAGTTGGGTATTTAGATATGTGATCTGATCTGAAACAATTTTCTAATATAAAAAAACCACGATTTTTTATATTGAGTGAATCACATATCTACTAAAATTTTAAATGGCTGACTTCAAATATATTTTTAATCCTTTTATTAATCTGTTCTCTCACGAACAATTACAAGCAGTTTCACTTGCATGGCTCCCATCAAAACTCGAACCATATTTTTCTGGAATAATCGCCGTGGACATGTTTATAACTACCTTAATAGCTACTGCAATAATCACCTTATTCTATGCGTCATGCTCCTTGTTGCAGGTGTTTCAGTTCAGAAGTTCATTAACAGTTCAAATTGAATATTATGTTAAAGGTAGGATACAGTTAGGGTTCTGAACGTGCCGGCATGGTGCTAATAAAACATAGTGCTCAGTGCACGGGCACTATGTTTTATTGGCACCATGCAATTGTAACCCTAGTTACAATATCATTTTCCCACAAATAGATTAAAAGTTTTCAAAATTCAGAATTCAAATATAATATCACTAGGTATTTATAGTACTCAAGAAAAAAATCCGTTATATGAAGCTCTATCGTGGATCATCTCACAATAAACCAAAGAACTAGAAAAAGGTTCATTTATTGTTTAACCTACTAATAGTAAAAATTATGGATCACATGAAGTGCCAGATTTTAATATCCTACCCGAAAAGAAACAACAAATAATTATAGAATACAAAGGTCGTAAATTCAATGTCATGTATAAACTGCAAGAAACTGACAAAAACATTAACAATCCTCAGCCTCTGCCATACTATAAAGCACCCCTGATCCAATGCCTTCTATTTATTTATCAATCATTAATAATGGTTCAAGTCTAAATACAAAACTTGATGTTAATTCAATTACTGAATTTATTTATGAGGTAATACGTTCTTATTTTAAAGCAAAAGAAAAGCATCACAGACGTTCTCGATATAAACGTAATGAAGGAAATTGGATCAGAGTTCAATATTTATCAGACTTAAATGGTTTGGAAACAGTTGTTTTAGATGAACCACAAGAAATATTATTGAAAAAAGAATTAGACTCTTTTGTTAATGACAAAGAATTTTATAAAAAAAATGGTATCCCCTATCGATGCGGCTTTCTTCTATATGGTAAACCAGGGACTGGAAAAACTAGTTTAATATATGCCATATCATCTGATTTATCACGAGATCTCTATTATCTTAATCTCAAAGAAATTAAAAATGATAATGATATGAGTGCTGCGTTTAGTTCTGTTCCACTGAATCAAATAATTGTTCTCAAAGATGTTGATGCACAATCATATATTCTTTATAAAAGGGATAATCAGCAAAATTATTTTAACTTTATTTCTGAAGATTTCCTAAAAGAAAAAGATGATTTATCAAAATATAAGGAGCTATTTTCATTTATTAGTTTATCTAATTTTCTCGGATGCTTGGATGGGCAAATATTATCAGAAGGTACTATAATTATTATGACAACTAATCACATTGAACATCTTGATCCCGCATGGTTAGTATTCTTTAATAACATTTTTGTGAGGCTAGAGAAGTAAACAGAATATTGAACAGATAATATAAATAGTCTATGGGTTACTTTAAACTGATTAATATCATAGATTTAAGTAACCCATATTTATATTATCTGTTTAATATTCTGTTCACATCTCTATGTGAGGTGCTCTATCAAGTAAATTTTTAAAAAATTTGAATGGATAAGCTCTTCTCACAGCTGTTTCAAATTAGTGCGATAAAGAATTTTGTGAATCCTATATTATTATTCATTATCGCACTAATTCGAAGATTTAATAATTTGGTTCGTTTCTGCTAGAGATGTGAATAGAATATTGAACAGATAATATAAATAATCTACGGCCCGTGGATTATTTATATTATCTATTCAATATTCTGTTCACATCTCTAGTTTCTGCTGACACAGTCTACATTCAAAGCTTATTTTATTTCTTATTTTAGTATCCGCCCTGGTCGCATGGATGTATGTTTAAATCTCGAATATTGTACGCATTACCAAATTAAAAAAATGTATCAGAATGTTGTTAAAAATCTCGACGCAAAATTTCTGAATAATATCTTACAAAAAATTCCACAACGATCATTACCTCCCTGCGATGTTATGCTAACTATGATGTCATATAGAAATGAGAGTGACCTTATACCAATTAAAATTCTTGAGCTGGTTGAAAAGTATTCAAACTAATTAATAATTAGATCAGAAGAAATGGTTAACTATAAAAATAAAAGAAACTGCTTTACATGCAAAATTGGGACACCTGCTATGCTCTAAGCAATAAAAATAAAGACGTTGTTACTTTAAAGAGCATGCTAAAATGAATCTGACAAATGTAATTTATGTGTTTTTACTGTTTTACTTATAGTTGTTAGTCGAAACCATGTGATGATAATCATCAACTATCATAAAATACCAAGACCTAAAAATTTAATCTAGTTTTTATTAAATAATGATATGTGACATTTAGCATCACATGGTTTCGTCTAACAACTATAGTTTTACTATGATACGATAGAGATGTGATCCGTCATCCGCTTTCCTATTTAAAAATTATGGATAAGAATTTTATTATAAAATTAAATTAACAGATATCCAGATCACATCTCTAGATATAAGGAAATAGAAACGTTCTATCAAGTAAATCTTTTAAAAAAATTTGAATGGTTAAGAACTTCTCGAGTTATTTTTGTTTAAAGTATCGTTAAAGATAATCTAAATATAGACACTCGTCAAATTTCAAAAACCACGGTGAATAAATGGAAAAAACTACGAGAATATGTCAAATCCAAAAACTTAAAATGCAAATATAAAACAAGAAAATAATAAAATAATTGTTATTTAAATTTGTGTGATTATATATGGATGGATGACTGTAAACACTAAGAATGGTTTTGCTATGCAACAACACATATACATTATTTGCAAATTTAAATTTTCATAGATCGAAAAATAGCCCCAGTATATATTTATAATATCTAGTTACAACTGCAAATGTAAAAATTAACTTTTATTAATTAAATTTAATTAACAAATGTATAAGATTAGCTATTAAAAATTACTCAATGAACTGAATTAATTATTACTTATTAAATTATAAGCATGTACTGTATGAATTACAAACAATAATAATAATTGATAAACGAGAACTTAGATCTGGAACACCTATGTGGGCTAGGTGCTGGAAAAAGGACCGAAAATGACAAAATAAAAGATCTTCAGAAAATCAATTATTGTGTTGTAAATCTTACAATATTAATAACTTTAAAGAGCTATCTTGTAAAATTTTATTGATTTATGTAAAAAAATCTATTTTTAAAAAATTGTAATTAATGATTTGAATATGATCTTGTTCATCAAAAACACAAGGCTAAAATTAAGCTTAATTCAGGCCAAAATTTGAAATAACCCATGCGCGTTAAATTTTTTCCCGAATGTACATATCAAGCTCCTTGAAGTGTTAATTTAACAATAGATTAATTAACTGGGTTTAATAAATTTTCTAATGCTGGAGTAATTATTCTAGTAGACTTGGGTTTAGGGCCTCTTTTTTTATTCGATTTAACATATACACATTCACGATTACGCAGGTTACATTTCGTGCATATTGTCTCACCAGAACATTTTTACTTTTTAATTCGACAGCTGGTACATGCCAGTTTAACATAAGAAGTGCGTGTTTTTGATTTCTTGTTGGAATGAGAGGTTCTTATTTGTGAATTAAACATCAATTTATGCTTCAAATTTTACATTCGTGATTTGAACGTAAGCTATATTTATACATTTCTTACAATGTTAAAAATCATTTTATAACAAATAATGGAATTAAAATTCTGGTTCGGAAAAATATATAAAAAATATATAATTTTAAAATTTTCTATTGTTGAATTAATTAGTGATAAGACTTCCTCAATACAACAAATAAGTATCATCTCATGAAATAGAGCTGTGACCGGGTTAAATAATAGCGACTGGGTTAAATATTTTCAAACCAGGTTATGACCCGGGCCAGTTGTCACATTGATAATTTATATTTTAAGTATTGGTATAGATTTGAGATAAAAGCATTAAATCGGAACATCTTGGGTTTTGTATCAAAAAAACCTTTCAACCGCCTCGTAATTTGAGTTTATTTATTTTCCACATCAGAAAAAATGGGTTTATTACAATCTTTCTGTTCATTTAACTGACCCGTTTGACCCGGATCAGGGCAGTTTTTTACCCATGACTCTCAAAATTCTGACCCGTACGGGTCAAGCCAACCTGGGTAACAGCATTATCATGAAGTCATAAATCAAAACTATGTGCAGTATTCTATAAAAATTTATTATTTTTATGTGAATCTTAATTTTTATGTGATTAGATATAGCCTTAACAGTTTAGAATAAAATTTTGTAAAAACTAATATTATGTCTATACAAACAAAGCTAGAGTTATTAACATAAAGAAAAAGATCCATGACATAAAGCAAAGTGCTTGAACAATCTCAGTTTGACCAATCAGCGTTAATTCTATGAAAAAAAAAGATGGTTTGCACCTCCAGACTTTTTTCAGTAAAGTGATCAATTGATTAAGATAATTTGAATGTTGACCTGAACAATAAAAAAAATTCATTCTTGACCAATATGGTAATTCATATTGGCAGATTTGGTTTAACCCCAAAATCAACCAATCATGATTGACGATTATCAAAAAAATTTTATATATTCTACAAGATGAATTTTCATAAGAACGGCCTCTTTAACTAAACCTTATTTAGTCAAAGATGAAGGAATTATGATATTTGTGCATTTATTATAAGTTGAAAGTAAGTTAAAAAGGCCTATTCTTTGAAACTTTGCTTCCAAATTTATCCTCAACCCATCATAAACCCATCGTTCTCTTCCTAAAACACTCGAGTATTTCAACAAACAGTACAAATACTTCTTTCTATAGCTTAGCATATATGTTTTATTGTTTTTTATTTGTTTTTTATCTTGCCTAGTTGCTAAAAAGTTCTTTTGTTAGTACTTTGTTTTGTTACTTTTTTAACTTTACTTAAGGAACAAAATTTTGTTCAAAAAAAAGGCCCCAAAAATCAAATAGGCCGATATGTTTAGAGATGCCGATCCTAACATTTCTGGCCAAAATTAACTGTAATGCGGGCCAAAAACTGTTTGGATCGGCATCTTTACTTTTTGAGAAATTACATTAGAGAATTTTATTTTTAAAAAAAAACACAATACAGTGATTTGACTAAATAACAATTTAAAGAATAAACACTCAAAATATATATTTGATTTAACCAAATACACGCCGTTACAGTTTTTGGTTAAAATTAGGAATTTAATTGTTTAAATCTACTATTTAATTCCAAATTACAATCAATTGAGTTTATTTGTTAGTGTTGAGTTATTCTTGCATAACGCATAAATTGATAATTTAAAGTTTAGTTTTTCGTTATCAATTTCGTAGATTATTT